CACAAGGTTTGCAGAGCTCCCTCCTTGACATTCTCACATCATAGCTGAGAGTCCGTGACACTCCCCCAAGAATCCTGGCTCTGCAGCCACTCTGTTTTTATCTGTACCTGCTCCTTCCTTCCTCCCTGTGGTCAAGGACAGGGGTCCCATTCAGTTTGGAGTTCCCTCCTGGAAGGTTTTGCTCGGAGTGTGTCCTGTCCTGGCAGAACGCTTGACCTGGTTGGCACCAGAGCCCACTCCAGCCCCAGATCTTCCTGTGGCCCTAAGCTCCCTGCTCCCAGTCTGGACAGAACACCTCCAATCTCAGACGGTGGCCTCAGTGGGAACCTCAAGTGAACCCGAGGGCTATTTGGGTCTCTTCTTGCTTCCTTCCCTCCAGCACAATGCCAACACCACAGAGGCCTGTGGCCATTGGTTTGTCCCCATCCGACTGTATCTTGGGGTCACAGGGGCACCATCACACCTACAGTGTATGGTCATCCATGTGGTCCTAGGGATCTGGGTTTTTACATAGGGATTTGGGGAGGTTTAAGGGCTGCCATCATTCTGGATGAGTTCTCCATAATGACTTGAGAGCCAGAGCCTGGCAGAGGGAGGTCAGAACCCTGTCCTCCAGGGAGTGACTTCCAGGACCCCAGCTGACTATTTCCTGTGGGGAGAGCTACCTCCTGAGCATCATGATGTCATTTTTATTTATGTATTAATTTTTTGGATTGCTTCCCTTTCAGAGTGCCCTGTAGCTAAAGCCCCAACACAGGCCTAGATAGCTCTCCCACCTCGCCACCGCCTGACCCCAGGCCTCTGACCTCTCCATCTGGCCGGCCAGGCTGGGGCCATCAGGAGCCACACACAGCAGGGTGGGAAGGGCCACCCTTGCCTGGGCACAGTGCACAGAGCCTGGCTGTCCTCCCACAGCCACCTCGGCCCATATAGGTGGCCTGGCCTCTCCACTCCAGCGCTCTGACCGGCAACCCAGCCGCACAGGACGGCCCAGTGGCTGGAGAGGAGCATGGGGCAGCCAGGAAGTGCTTCTGAAGCACCCGCCACTGCCAACAGCAGCACCAGCTTGGTTTGCACACCATTCCCCAAAACATCCAAGCACAGGGGGAAAATGAGAAAGTTCCTGAGGTTTCACAAAGGCACTGGAAAGGAAACGTGACCCTCTGGGTCTCTTTAGTCCCAGGTGTGTAGAGCCACCTGGCCTCCGCAGCCGCGTGCTTCCCACTCACAGCCTGGCAGGGTCAGTTCGCCACAGAGCAGGCAGGGCAGTTGCCAAACTAACAGGCAGCAGAAGCAACCACAGAGCAGGTGCTGCCAGCAGGGACAACGGGTCTGAGACTTTGACCTCAGTCCCCCATAACACATGCGGGGCAGGGGGCATATTAGTGACAATGCAGGCCCTGACAGCAGTCAGAAGACAGGTCACCCTCTGCCATATGTCTCAGGTATGTCTTCATCGTGGGGTGGCGGGGAGGCTAATGCTCAGGGGACAGAGAGGGCTGGAATGTCCGTTAGACAACATCCTATACCGGGGCCCACCACCCAACCTATGCAGTCCACGGGACTCAGGAAAGGAAGGAGCCTCGGGCCCACAGCCACCAGAGCTTCTAGGAGTTCGCTGCCTCAGGGAAACACAGTGCCATGGGGCTTGGGGCTACTGCCCCCATAGCAGGCCCCAGAAAGCTTTCCAACATACCCGAGCCCCAAAGGAACCCTTTGTCCCTGGGGTGACATTGCCAGGGGCTGCCCACAGTCAGTGCCCTCTCCCTCACCAGAAAATCCCAAGCACAGGACTGAGCTGGGATTTTTTTTTTTTTAAATGGAATTTATTCTATCTATAACCGCCTGAGAGGACACAGGGGAGGGGGCTTCAAACCACAGCAAGAGTGCACTGCTCGCCTTGGGGCTGGAGCCCAATCTGGTTGGCCCAGGCCCCGGCTCTGTAACCATTAACCTCTTCTCCCAACTAACCCCAATGAAAAGTGTCATTCCCTGTGACTGGGCTGTTGTGTTTGGATCTGTGCCACGGACCTCTGAGCCCAGGTTTTTTTTTTGTTTTGTTTTGTTTTTTTGATAAATGAATATTTAATCGGGGCCAGGCTGTGATTTTTCTTCATGCACACCTTCATGTTTGCCTGAAGCCACCTCCTACATCATATGCCCCCAACCAGGCCAGCAGGACCCAAACACAGCTGCCAGGCAGAAACACCAGAGGAGCCAGTTTGGCCTCAGCCCCACCCCCTTCCCTGACCTGCAAACCCTGGCAGGTGCCTGGGAGGACTCAAGGGCCAGAGCGGATATACTACCTCAGGAGTGCAGGGATGGCCAGGACAGCACACAGAAGGCCACCAAGAGCCAGAAGGTTGGTGGCTCACAGAGAAATGGCTGCACTAACCAGCCCTGGAACCACCATGCCTGCAGCCTGCTGTCCCAGGAAAGGCTGCTGTCAAGAGGGCTCTTCTAGTCCAGCCTCGCTGCCCCAGCCCGTCTCCAGCTGTCCACAGGGCCCCTGCTCCACAGCCAGCTGCCCTCAGTGGGCAGGCCCTTCCTTGGTGAAGCCAGCCCTGCCCTCAATCAGACAGGCCCTCTGGCAAGGTGGCCTCTAATGGAGTCCTCTCCATGACAACTGGCAGCCTACGGGCCTCATGGAGGCAGGGACCTCAGGCATACAGTCCCTAGCCCCCAATCTAGCCCCCCCCCCCACCAGCAGAAGCGGTGACCCAGTGGCACCTGAACAGAGCTGAATTCAAGGTGGGAGCAGCTATGGGAAGAAGGCTCTGAGGCAAGGGCATGAGGCAGGCTCCCACAGGGCATAGCTTGCATCCACGCTGCAGACGGCGGGCCAGCTAACTCCAGGCAATGTATGTGGTGCAGGATGTGGGACCACTCTGGGCAAGCCAGGACCTCACATCCATCTCAAGAAGCTGGTGGCTGTGGACAAGGAGGGATGCAGGAACCACGTGGAGGTCAGTGGCAATCCAGGTGCCGGGCAGTGGTGGTGGTTGTGACTGCTGGGCCCGGGAAGGCTCTGTGGCCACATCCAGAATGTATTTTGTCAGTGGGTGCTAAACACGCCAGAAGCCAGAAGGGGGTTGGGGGAGACCTTAGGGAGCCTCCATGGTCACCTGTGCCATGTGGATGCGAGTCAGGGCTCCAAAAGCACCTTCTGTCCGCCATCTTCAGACCCTGGGACAGGTGGATAAACCCATCCTGCCTGCCTCCCCACTCTGCCCCACTCTCAGGGGGTCAGCACAGACATCAGCCCTTGCCCTGCAGGCCAGAGCTACCAGGGCATCAGCCCAGGGTCCCAGGGCAGGAGTCCAGCACAGTCACCCCACAGGCAGGCAGGACCTACAGTAGCAGGCCCAGAACAATGGGACACACGGCAGCTTAGAAGCTCCAGGCACACGGCCTGTGAACTGAGTGAAGGGGTGTCACCATGTGGTGGCTCCGCAGCAGTGGTGGCTGGAGCAGGAACTTCCAGCAGATTCCCATGGGGAAGAACAGGTCAGGACAGTGGGCTGGACAAAGAGGCCATGAGCACTCACCCATACATTTTACAGGTTTTCTAAAGAGAACAAGTTAGCAGAGGACTCGTAAGATTAAACCTGATTTACTCCATGGCAGATGTATGTTTTGAAGAAAACAGGGGTTGTTAAGGTAGCCTGGGTGTTTTGTTGGGTGAAGTAATAAGCATTTTGTAGCTGTTGTTTCGTGTGGAGGACCTAGGAGTACAATGACACAAATCTGAGATGTTCTTTAAACTCTCTGGGAGGAGAAGAAGGCATGAGTGAGGAGGACTGGTGAGGCGTCTCTAACCCCAAAGCTGAGGGCAGAATCATGACATTACCGAGGTCTGACATTCCCACGATGACACAGGATTTTAAGTTAATTCTAAAAGGCCTGGGAGGCCAAGAACGTGCGTCAGAGGGAGGGGGTAGCAGGAGCAGCAGGGAAGGACGGTCATGGTCCCCCCGCACAAAGCCCTCAGTTCTCAGTTCCCTCCTCTGTAACCAAGGCTTCATAAACTACCCCCACCACCATGCAGGTCCCATGGCCCTTCTCAAGGAGGACTATGGCATGCTGGCCCTGGGGCTGAACCCAGCAACTGTTCTGTACGTCAAGTTTTGCTGGCACATGGTCGCACCCATTCACTTCCATCCTGACTGGCTGCCTTCCTGCTGTAAGGGCACATGATCTGCAAACCAGAAGTATCTCCCTTCTGGCCCCTTACAATAAAAAAAAAAAAAAAATGTGCTGATTCCATACTGGCATAATGCCTGGCACAAAAACACACCAAGAGCAGCATGAAAGCCAAGTCCATGCTTTATTTCTCGAGTGCCATATGGGAAAGTAGAGTCTCGGCAAGCAAACCCCAGCCCCATGGGATAAAGGTGAATTTTATTTAGCCCAAGGAATGCTTTATTCAACCCAAGGAATGCTTTATTCAACAAAACAGAGCACCAATACTTAAAATGTGAAAGATTTCCCCACAAAACTGGCACATGCATGGGCAGCCCCGGTGGCCCAGCGGTTAGGCTGCCTTCAGCCCAGGGCGTGATCCTGGAGACCCGGGATCGAGTCCCACGTCGGGCTCCCTGCATGGAGCCTGCTTCTCCCTCTGCCTGTGTCTCTGCCTCTCTCTCTCTGTGTCTCTCATGAATAAATAAATAAAATCTTTAAAAAAAAAAAAACTGGCACATGCCACACCGTCCTATCGTGCTGTCTCCCCAGCCCTGGGATGCCCACCCCACTCTATGGCTTCTTGCTTGAGAATGCGGACTGCCTAGAAATAGGGCAGGGGGCCCAGGATGCTGGGGAGCGAGGGCCTGGGCCAGGAGTTGGGGGAACAGAGAGACAGAGAGAAGCGGCCCCTAAGGGCACCCACAACCCTCTGGAGGAAGGACACATCAACCCTGAGCCATGGGACAGGGAGGAGAAGCAAGCTGGGGTCCAGGGCTATGGGATCAGCTAAGCCCCGCCGCCCAAGGCCACCTCACCTGGGTTCTCGTGACTGGCCATCTGCTGGTCCTCAGAGTCCAGCGGCCCCGGAGACCAGGCCTCCTCCCGCAGCTCCATGTCTGGGTCCCTGTTAGAACGGGAGGAAATGGAAATATAGAGTTTACAGGACGCCAGACTCAACGGAGGGCCCCAGGAAGGCAGGTCCCACGTTGGCAACCATCGGCGCCCAAGCTCCGAGCTCCCAGCTTGGCCCTGGTAGGCAGACAGTCATGGCAGGTACCTGAGGGACAAAGGCGAAATGGCCCTCACCTTCCCCCTGGATGGGGGACCAGCCCAACGTCATGCACAGTCTGGGCAAGGAGAAAGCACTGGGGAGCAACCACCCAGGTATGGATCCTAGCTAGAGCCCGGGGAGAGACTCCAGGTCCCTGCCTCATCTTCCACAGCCACCGCCTGGCACCTGGATTGTCCAATGTGCCATGAGATCGAACAACAAAGCACAGCAGCAGCTCCAGCCCTGGAGCAAGGAAACCAACCCAGGTCCTCCTGCCAGTGCCCTGGAAGCCAACCCCCACGGAATGATGCAGCAGACAGACAGGCACACGGGTCACCTATGGGGTTCACGCTTTCAGGTCTCCTCAAGCGTGCATGAACTGAACAATTCCCTGAATCAGGGTCCTGGGGGACAAAGGCGCTGATCGCCGACCCTCCAGAGTGCCTGTACAAAAGGGGTGGCCAGACAACCCTGGCATTTGGGGATGGAGGGCCAATCCATTCTGCTCTCTGCAATCCTGGCCCTCTCACTGTCTCTACAGGTCTGCCCATTCTGGAGGTCTCATTACCGGCACACTACATTCCTGGGGGCCGTGTCTGCGTTTTCTCTCCCTCAGCGTAACGCTTTCAAGGCTCGTCCACACCTTACCATGTGTCCAAGCTTCCTTCCTTCTCGTGGCTGAACAACAGTCCACCATACGGAAAGATCGACCACCTTGTATGCCAGCCCACCAGCCGGCACTGACAGGCGTCTGGATTGGGGCCAAGGAGTAAAGCCACAATGCGCATCTGAGGGCATGTACTGTGGGGACATGTTTTCACCTTGCCCAGAGAGGAGCTGCTGCACAGCCCACGCTCACCCCATGCCTACCCCACGCTCACCGCATGCAACAGGACATGCTGGGGAGAAATCCTCCACCTCCTGACCGGCCTCCATCCACTCTGCCCCATGTTTGGAGTCGGCTGGCAGGGGAGGGAGAACCGGGCAGGCCCTGGGCCCAGGCGGGCTCGTCAGTCCTGTGCTGCACCAGCACCCAGGACTGGGGGAACCTGTCTCTTGGTGGGACATCACTCCCTGACAGGAAGCCTGCAGGTGGGCCAGATTTCTGACAGGAGGTGGTGCAGACTTCTGACAGGAGGTGGTGCGACCTGGTCCCCCTGCCCTATTTCTAGGCCTCACACTATCAACCTGTTCCCTTGAGTTGAGTGCTTACAGCTCTAAGCAAATCTCCAGAGTTCCTCCCCCCTCACTGCATATGTGGACCTCACCATAGCACCTGTGAATCATAGCCAACTGCTCCCTGGTACAACATGCCAAGCCCACTTCTCTTAAATCCCCCACTGAGAGGGGGTCACCACCATCCAGGGACCAAATGTAACCCATTCCACTGCTGGGAAGCATGAGGCCGCCCCTCCATAACCTCTACTAACCTCTGTGAGGAACTCCAAGAACCCACCTGTCCAGTTAACAAACACTTGCAGATACAGTAAGCAGTTCCTTCAGCCAACATTTCCCGGGTCTAGACCCTGCTCTACGTGGTTTAGACGCCATTACCGTAGCCTTCGATTCTGGCACAGCCCTCTGAGCGGGCAATATTGTCACTCAGGCTCCAATCACCTTCCGTCTTCCGCCCACCAGCCTGGCCCTGCATTACCCTGCACTAACATGCTCTGAACGGCCCCCATGTCACAGCAGAGGACATGAGACCATCAAGGAGCAGGGATAGGACGCCAACGGTGTCACTGCAGAGTCCTCACTCCCAAACGCTCTGCCATCCTGACACCCAACAAGGACACAACCAAAGACAAAGACCAGCCTGCCTAGGGGGCCAGGAGGCCAAGATGGGGTACACTGAACAGGAGATGGAAAGCGGCCATCTCAGAGGAGCTGCTGAGTGGACAGGAGGAAAGCAGGGCTGGGGGGGAAGGCAGCAAGGCCCCCTGGCTGGAGGCTACAGTCAAGGCCAGGCCTCCTCACCACCTACCCAGCCACCAACCTCAGCAGGGAGCTACCATGGGGTCAGGCCAGGTCAGTGAGGAAAGCATGCAGAGGGTGCCCTGTGCAGGTTCTCACTCACAGACATCATCACAGCACCCGCTATGAAATGGAAGCACCCACCACATCACAAGCTCCCCCTCCACACACGGCCCTTGTCTCACTGGATCCTCACTTGGCCTAACGAGAAGATAAGGCAGGAATGTCAGCAGCTGCACAGGTGCTGGTGTGTGCTCAATGGCACACTCCTTTCCTCCCCACCTGTCCCCGTCACCGGTACCCCACAGGCGTGGGTCTCCCCAAGGGGCAGACGTTGCTCTGACACGGGCGGATGTTACAGTGAATGGCCACAGCTCCAGCCACATAGGAGGGCCCTGCCAGTGATAAATGAGCACCTGAATGAAAAAGGTGATTTCAGACAATGAATTCTGTGAAGATTCGTGTGGGGGGTAAGGGGGAAGCCAGAGATCTCCCAGGAGGAGGAGCCACAGGAACCAAGAGCGGCCCTCATGAGAAGTGTGGAGAGGGAAGGATGCAGGCAGCAGGGACAGCAAGTGCAAAGGCCCTGAGGAGAGGCTAGAGATGCAGGAGTGGGAGGGCTCTCTTGCAGGACTTCTAAGGCCAGACCTAGCATTGAGGAGTTGTCTGAAATGCGGTGACCTCTTTGAGGGCCCCAACACATGTTTTATAGAGGACATGGGCTCACAGACATGGGTGAGGCCACATCCTAGAGGGGCCCAGCACCAACAGCAAGGCGCATCGGATAGCAGCAGCAATGGCGGGCAGCCGCAACAACACCCAGAAGCTAGGAGGGCAGAGCAGTCTTCATCCCTGTCTGCCTGAGGCATCACCCCCTCAGAGGCCTCCCAGCCCCCAATCAGCCTGACCCTGGGACCACTAGGTACACAGCACCCACACCAGCGCTCGGCACCCACAGGGCCTATGATGGGCATGTGACGCCTGCATGAAGGGTCTGAACAGAACAGCGGCTCAAGAGATAAATGCAATGCAACTCTGTCCCCCCTGCCCGCCCACTTTCGGACCCCCAGGAAACCTGAAGAGCCCCAAGCCACAAGGTGGTGCCTCACACAGTCCACACAGAACCTGACAGCCCGGGCTACTCAGGCACAATCTGGCCACAAGGTTGTGGAGCCGCAAACAGGTGCTCAGGGCCCTGACCAGGCCACCCCCTTCTCCAGAAGCTCATCTGAGGGGAAACCCAAACCTCAGAAAATATTTCTTATGGGGAAAAAAAGAAGTTCATCACAGCCAGATTTAGAGCAGGGAAAAAACTGGAAAGAAGCCGTCAGCACCACGTGGTAGAAAGCCTAAGAAAATCCCACAGAAGCCACAGCCTCAGAAACAGGGGTCATAATGCCCCCTGCTGATAGCAGGAAGAATGCTTTTAACTTTTCTTCTCGTTTATCCTCATTTTCTCAACTTATTAATTTTTCAGAATAAGTAGTTACTTCTGTAATAAGGGAAAAAAGACTACACGTTGATTCTTTCTTGGATCGCCATAAGGACTGTGCACTGCGATGGGAAAATCACTGTGTTGAGGGGGCAAGGCAGGGACACCATCATTTGGCCCTCGGGTCACACACAGTAACCGTGAGGCACAGAACCCCCAGTGCACAGCTGACAGGCATGTGGAACGAGCCGAGCAGCCGCGGCTTCTCACATGATAAACAGACCTACCTTGTGACCCGGGAATCCACTCCCAGGTACACAGCCAAGAGACATGTACCCAAGAACAAGTGTCCACAAACAGGCTCAATCTCGAATGTTTCCAGCAGAGCTGCTCACAGTGCAAACACGAGAGGGAGAAGGCAGTCACAAAGAGCCGCAGAGAGCAGATTCCATCTCTGTGAAACGTCCAGAAACGTCCAGGACAGAGACGGTGGCTGCCAGGGGCTGGAAGAGGGGATGGTGAGGGACTGCAAATGGGTGCGGAGGTTCTTTTCAAACAATGAGAGTATCATTGGATCAGATGGTAGTGATAGTTGCACAATGTTGTTGATGTGTTAAAAACCACTAAATTGAACACGTTAAGGGAGTGGACCTCACGACGTGTAAGTTACATCTCAATTAAAAAGTAAACAGACGGGGATCCTTGGGTGGCTCAGTGGCTTAGTGCCTGCCTTCGGCCCAGGGTGTGATCCTGGAGTTCCCGGATCAAGTCCCACAGCAGGCTCCCTGCATAGAGCCTGCTTCTCCCTCTGCCTGCGTCTCTGCCTCTCTCTCTCTCTGTGTCTAAATAAAGGTAGAATGGTTTAAAAAAAATAAAAGTAAATTTAAAAAACTGACTTAAAAGTAAACAGACTTTAAAAAATTGCATGGGGCCCTCTGATTACAAGGCCACCAACACTGAAAATGAGGTGCGTTCCCCCCTTCCCCCACTTAATAGAGTCAATTACATCCTCAAGGAAAACAAGAAGTGCCTGGAGGGCTCAGTCGGTAAAGCATCTGGCTTCAGCTCTGGGTCCTGGGATGGAGCCCCATGTGGGGCTCCGTGCTCAGCAGGGAGCCTGCTTCTCCATCTGCCCCTCCCCCGCTCATGCACACATTCTCTCAAATACAAAAAACTTTTAAAAGAAAAAAAAAAGTAGACAGTGCTAACAGGGCTGTGGGACAGCGGGGCTAAGGAGGTGTGCTGGGAAAGCTGGCTCCCCTGCCCTCCTCTGTATGCGGAAGCTTGTTTGCCAAGTGGGTGTGCTGTGCTTCCCCCACGGACATGGAAGTCACCATGGAAGTCACCGAAAGCAGGGACTTCCCAGACCCGAGTCTCCAGCTCAGACCAGTTTCCTGCAGGAGGGCCTTGGCCTTCACTCTGTCACCACCACCCCCTTGTCCCTGTC